CGGCGCAAGTGGGTGGAGTGCCTGTGCCTGCCCGGCTGGCACGGGCCCAGCTGCGGGGTGCCCACCGTGGTGCAGCACTCGAACCTGCCCACCAAGGAGCGGCTGGTGCCCCGCGAGGTGCCGCGGCGCGTCATCAACGCCATCAACCTCAACCACGAGTTCGACCTGCTGGACGTGCGCTTCCACGAGCTGGGCGACGTGGTGGACGCGTTCGTGGTGTGCGAGTCGAACTTCACGGCCTACGGCGAGCCGCGGCCGCTCAAGTTCCGCGAGATGCTGACCAACGGCACCTTCGAGTACATCCGCCACAAGGTGCTCTACGTCTTCCTGGACCACTTCCCGCCGGGCGGCCGGCAGGACGGCTGGATCGCCGACGACTACCTGCGCACCTTCCTGACCCAGGACGGCGTGTCGCGGCTGCGCAACCTGCGGCCCGACGACGTCTTCATCATCGACGACGCCGACGAGATCCCGGCCCGCGACGGCGTCCTCTTCCTCAAGCTCTACGACGGCTGGACGGAGCCCTTCGCCTTCCACATGCGCAAGTCGCTCTACGGCTTCTTCTGGAAGCAGCCGGGCACGCTGGAGGTGGTGTCCGGCTGCACGGTGGACATGCTGCGCGCCGTCTACGCGCTGGACGGCATCCGCCTGCGCCGCCGCCAGTACTACACCCTGCCCGCCTTCCGCCAGTACGAGAACCGCACGGGCCACATCCTGGTGCAGTGGTCGCTGGGCAGCCCGCTGCACTTCGCCGGCTGGCACTGCTCCTGGTGCTTCACCCCCGAGGGCATCCACTTCAAGCTCGTGTCCGCGCAGAACGGCGACTTCCCGCGCTGGGGCGACTACGAGGACAAGCGGGACCTCAACTACATCCGCGGCCTCATCCGCACGGGCGGCTGGTTCGACGGCACGCAGCAGGAGTACCCGCCCGCCGACCCCGCCGAGCACATGTACGCCCCCAAGTACCTGCTCAAGAACTACGACCGCTTCCGCTACCTGCTGGAGAACCCCTACCTGGGGCCCAAGAGTACGGCGGCCGGCGGCCGGCGGAGCCAGGATGCCCAGGGCAGGCCGCCGGCCGGGGGCCAGGTGGGCGCCGTGCAAGGCTAGGGGTGCACGGGCTCAACCCGGGCCCGCGGCGTCGGGGCGGCGGCTGCGGGGGAACCATCGCCCGGCCACCTCCTGCCCCGCTAGGGCAGCTCCTTCGGAGACCAGGAGGGGGTGAAGCGGGGTGGGGCTCTTGACTTTTGGAGCTGTCCAAGATCAAGGCTCAGGCCTTGCGGGGAACCAACCTGCTTCCTGGTCAGGAGCTCTGTGCCCACAGAGTGCATGATGGGTCCTGAGGAGATGGGTGGGGAGGGGGGTGTCCCAGGGGAGGGGATGTCTGGAGCTCTGGACACAGATGGTTTGGGGGTCTCAAAGGAAGAGGAGGTGTGAACAGCATCCAGCTGGGAGGAGGAGCTGGTGGGGCCTCCGCCGTGGGCTCAGACTTGGGGCCGGACACAGGCCTGACCCTGACTTTCCTACAGTGCTTCAGGGGGCTAGTCACTCCAGGCTTGCAGGCTAGGAAGAGGAGGCGGGGCCTGGAAGCTGGGAGAGGTGGGGACTGACCCCAGGCCTCTGATCACTCACCCTCTCCCATCTCAGATGGGATCACCCGAGAGTCCCTTCCTTGGGGCCGCTTCAGGGTCAGCAAGGGACAACGAGGCTGCCCAGGGCCCAAGAAGGGACCTTGGGGCCAGTTGCATGTCATCCCATCCCTCTGGGTGCGTCCTAAAAGGGAGCATAGTTGTTGGGCTAGAGTTTCAGCTGCTGAAATGAAGGGACCCCACAATGCAGTGGCTTCACGGGACCCAGGCGGTGTCCAGAAGGGAAGAGGGTCCACAGCGGATAGGGCAGCCTGGCCCGTTTCGTCCACGCACATCTTCCTATTCAGCACGCCAGAGGAGGCGGCTGCAGCTCCTCTGGTCATCACAGGGGCCTCCCTGCCAGAAGGACACAGAGGAAGGCCAGGGAGTCTCCCCTCATTCCTCTAGAGCAGAACTGACAAAGTTACTGTGATTACATCTCATTGGCCAAGGCTTGGTCACATGGCCATCTGCCAGGGAAGCCAGGAAATGTAGTCTTAAGCTGGGCTGCCCTGTCCCCAGCCTCAATTGGGCAGTTCTCATATTCAAGGCCGGAGGAGAGGATGGGACGGATTTGGGGGCCAAGTGGCATGTTTGGCACGAAGTTGGGAGGCGGAGAGAGGCCGGAAGTGACTGCTCCGGTCCCGAGAGCTGGGAGTTGCCCGGGTTGGGTGATGGCCCCACTCCCTGGGGCTCCTCAGACAGGTGCCTAGTGAGGCCAGTAGGTGCCATCTGCCTGTGGACCGGTCCGTGTTGGTGTGTGCGTGTATATTTATGGGCATGGGTGCATGTGGGTATGTATTTGTACATGTCTGTATCGACGTGTCCCTGTAAATAGGTGCTTGTGTGTGAATGTGGGCCTGGGGCCCAGGCGTCCCCTTCCCCAGGGCCCCAAGTCTGTGGTCCCTCCTGCAACCCTCCCCACAAGGTGGCTGAGGCTGGAAGCAAGTCGAAAGAAGGGGGTGGGGGGGCCGGTTGTCTGTCCGTCGGTCAGTCAGTCTTTCAGTGGAAGGAGCACTGCCTCCCAGCCCAGCCCTCAGTCACCTGCAGACTGTGGGCTTCCTGGGAAAGTGCCCAGCTGTGCCAGGCAAGCCCTTTAGTGAGAGCAGCAGAGACAGAGTGTGCCCAGAAAGAACTCACTGCCCTCTGCAGGAGCTGACCCGCCCACTGCCTTGGAGGAGGAGGGAGGGGCAGCCTGGGGGCACTCTGGAGCCCCTCCCAGCAGCCCCATTTTCTTTCCATCCTTGAACCTGAGGTGGCTTCAGACGTCAGAGTGCCCCCGTGACTGTGTCAGCCCAGCCTGGTCCACCCATGCGCCCCGCCATCGCCCTGTTACCCCCTCTCGCAAGGAGTCCCTAGCCTGGAGGTCAGGAGCCCAAGAAGGGTTGAAGTGGAGGACAGCTGTCAGGGGTAGGGCTTGGGTGCTGGGGTTTCACACACAATCATGTCTACCCTGGGGACTGGGATGACAGGAGAGTCGGGGCGCTGTCCCGCTGCACCCCCAGCGTGAAGGGGAATCGTGCGGTGAAGGTATCCGGTGGGGCACCTATAGCCAAGTCCAGGTTTCCTCCCCAAGGACCTGGCTGCGGTTGCCAGAGACGACGGGCAGGGGAGAGCCCCGGGGGCAACGGCCATGGTCAAGGAGAGAGGCAGGCCTTGTGCACCCAGAGGCAGGGCCCCGGAGAGGTGTAATTTAAGGACATCAATAATAGTAATATTTTTTTTGTAAGGAAAAAAATCAAAATGTACATTCTGAAATCATTTTCTCTGTAAATGGTTGGATTTCATTTCACCCTTAAAGGGATGCTTAAAGGAGAAGATACTATTAATAATAAAACAACTACAAAGCCTGAGGGTGTGCACAGTGGTCCGTGTGGGGCTTCCCCGGAGGGGGGGTTGGGGAGGCAGGCCCGGGCAGGGGCTCCGGTCTTGCTGGCACACCATGGCCGAAGAGAGCGGAGAGGGGGCGTGGACAGCTCACCCTCACCCCAAGGTAGGTGAGTCCAACCCCAGGGAAAGCTGCTCACCCGAGGTGGAACCATGCTCAGAAAGGGAAGACTCTCACCTGAGACCCCCAGGGAGGGAGGGGCGGGCGGCCTGGTGCCGGATGGTGGATCCCACCACCTTTGGGTGAAGCGTTGCTGGCACTAAGAGATTTGGCCCCTCCGTTCTCTCAGTGGCCAGACTGCGGGCCCACCTCCTGGCTTCTCTCTGCGTGTGTCGGGCTCTGCAGGCCAAGGCTTGCTTTCAGCCCTGCCTCGGTCCCCTGCGGTGGCTGTGCAGCCTCTGGTGGTCGAGGTGACCCAAGGGCCAGGGACAGCAGCGGGTCTTCTAGCAGTCACCAGTGCCCTGCCCTTTCCAGCATCGTCCCTGTGGAACCAGGTCACCTGAGGGCTGGCTTCCCAGGTGTAAGAGCACAGGAGACCATCCCTGGCAGGTAGCTGGGTGAGGACTGGCTGGGCTGCCTCCTAGAGGCCTGGGGAGGATGGAGGGGATGCAAACACCCCATCTAGCCAGGAGTGTGACCCACCTGCCCTTGGGGAGCGTGCTTGCCCTCCCATCAACCTCTGCATAAAATCATCATTGTTAGATGCACTTGGGTTGGTCCTAGCTCATAAAAACCTGATGTACGACAGAAGGAAACACCACCCGGCCCTGCACCACCCGCACAGCTGTTCTGGTGCTTGAGCCCATCACCCAGCCACTGCATTGATCTACCCAGTCCTGCAATTTACCAAGCGTTCTGGCCTACCCCAGGGACTGGTCTCTAGAGAAACAAATCCAGAGACATTCATATGGGCATAAGGAGGAGATCTATATCAAAGAGCAATTGTGTATTAAGGAAACATCCCAGTCCAGATCACGTCCATGAGTCCAACATTAGCTCATGTGTCCGATGCTAGTCCATAAATCCTCTTTAGACTCACGCAGCACGTGCAATGATATTGAATGCGGGAAGGTCACAGGCCGGTGGGTAGAAAGTCTTGTGGATCCAGTGGCAGTGGAAGCATCTCAGTGCTGGCGTGGGTTTCCAAGTAGCTCCTCCAGCTCTCTGAGTGTCTCCACAGCAGGAAAGGGAAGGCAGAGAGCGTGAGTATGGCCCACCTCCAGGGAGGAAGGAAACTCCCAGAATCCTCATGAGAAGGCCATGCCCATAGGGAGGCATCAATCAGGCCGTGACCTGATTGACAGGCTAGGCTCCACCCCTATGACCTCTTTCTCAATGTGTAACTAACCGCAGGTACCAAACGCCGGGGTGGGTGGGGGGGGGAGGGACAGGTCCATCCTCATCGTTCCCATTTTACAGATGGGGAAAGTGAGGCTGACCGTAGGACTAGAGTCAATTTACCTCACAGGTGCTGAGCTCAGAACTGTAAATCTGTACACCTTCAGTCCGCATCCATTGGGAAGCAGGGAGGGAGAGGAAGGATGAGAGGGGGGATGATGGTGCTGATATCCAAGCATCGTCCGAGCTCCTAGCACGATGCAGGTTTAGGGGACACTGAGGCCCTGGGGGAACTCACATAAGCACACCCTGAGGGTGGAGTCCCTCTGTGAAGGACCTTCCAGCAGCTGTTGCTCATTCATTTGCCCGGGTCATGTAAATAGGGCCCCCAGAGGTGGTGAGGACTTGAGGGTGCACCTTCCTCTGGCCTCTCTGACTCCTGGTCGCCCCTCCTTTCTCTCTCTGTCCTTCCTTGTCCTGGGCTTCATTCACCAAAGGGGGCTCCCCAGGGCTTGGTCCCAAGCTCACAGCCCTGCCAATGATTCTCATTGACTTGCTGGGGTGGGACCGGCCCTCTCTTGCCCCTCGTGTGACTCTCAGCCCCTCGTGTGACACAGCCACCCCGCCCAGTCCCACATCCTGTCTGTCCTGCTGGTATGGCCGGTGCGTCACACTGTCACACCCGGACTTGGCAAGGCATTGCTGCTCAGGAGTCATGCCCATCACATGTTGGTGCCCCTTTCAGAAACGGGGCTCCTAAATGCCGTGTGTGTGTGTGTGTGTGTGTGTGTGTGTGTGTGTGTGTGTGTGTGTTTATTTGGAAAAGGTTGGATTCAATGAAAGGAAGTGGCAGAAACACTGGACGTCAATCATTTATTAGAAAAGAGAGACGTGGAGCTGATTTCCATGATGAAGGATTTCGGAATTCCAGGGGAATGGGCAGGGTCACTGGATGCCATTTCCAGAGTGGTGTGTGTGGTCTCCTCTGCAGACGCCCCAGGAGCGTTGCCATCCCTAAGTCAGAAACCAGCCTTGTCATCTAGAGCTGCTTTGATGCCTCCATATTTGGGGAGAAGAACTTTCTCTCCGACTCCCACACTCGCTGATTGAATCTCTGCACCCTTTCCTTTCGAGCCAGACCCCACAGCCACGACCGCTGCCTGCAGGACTTTTCCTGGAGATTTTTCTGGAAGCATAATGCCCCCTTGGGTGGCAGCTTCAGTGACACCCCTCTCTACCAACCCTCCGTCAAAGAGGGGAAGAAACGTTCCAAATGCCTGTCCTGCCATGACGCTTGGGTGGCTGCAGCTCATACCCCTCCATCAGGGGGTTCTCCAAGCTCTGGCCAAGACTTAGGGTGCAGGTTGAGGCTGTGTTCTCGGGCCAGAGGCAGGGAATTTCCTTGTTCAATCATTGGAGTTTCCTGAGACCCCTTCCTGAGGTAGGAGGCCCGGAAGAGAACACTCCGTGCTGGGAAGCTTAGACGGTCAGCTTGCTCCCAGGCAGGTTACTCAAAAGAAGCCATAGGCGGACGCTCAGCGAGTTTTCTTCTTGCAGATCACGTGGACCTTGCCGGAGGCCAGGATGCTACTGCAGTTGGGCCCTGAGGACAGACCTGCTTCCTGAAGGTCTGTGCTGGTCTGCACCTGCCCAGCCAGGTACCAGTGGCCTTGTCACCTTTCAGCTCAGTCTCACAGTCAGTGGCTGCCAGGCTCCTGTGTCCCGGGCCCCAAGGAAGACCCGAGAGGAACAGGACGCATCTGCCTCGAAGGAGCTGAGGGTCACTGCTGACTGGGGGTCGGGGCGGTTCTTCCGTGGGAACCGCCCTGTGTACTGCAGGGTGTCAGCAGTATCCCTGGCCTGAAGAAGACCCCCACTCCCGCCAAGTGCGACAGCCAAGATGCCTCCAGACACTGCCCCTGGTGGGCATCTGTGGGCAAGCCGGTTCCTTCCAACCACTGGTTTCTTCCTTTTGTCCCACAAGGTAGCCCTCGCTAAGAGCTGTAGCTCGCCCATTGTGGGACTGATCCGTGTTTGGAGGGAGCTCCTCTCGATGTCCAGTCTGTGAGATTGGAGGTGGGGAGCTGGAACTGGAGAGAAGGAGGTCGGTGGTTCAGAGACACCCGTGTCCTGGTAACGCACCAGGCTGGGCTGAGGACCCAACAGCTCGGTCACCCTTCTCCCTGTACTGTACTGCCCTCTCGTGGGCGAGCACGGCGTGCCAGTGACCCTCCTCTCCTCTCTCCACGCCAATGGAGATCCAGGCCTTGGAGACGTCTCACTGTAATAAAAGGAAAATGTTTGAAAAGTGGAATCACAGAAAATTATAAAGATAACAGAAGCATGGTGAAAGAAAACCGGTGGTGCCCAGTGGTCAGAAAGCATAGAGTCTTAATCAAACTCCAAACCAAACTCACTGCCATTGAGTCTATGCCAACCTTTTAGGACAGGGTTTCCAAGACTAACTCTCCATGGGAGCAGAGAGCCTCATCTTTCTCCTGCAGAGCGGCTGGTGGTTTTTAACTGGTGACCTTGTAGTTAGAAGCCCAACGCATAACCACTACGCCAGTAGGGCTCCTTGGGTTGGAAAGGCTTGTCTTAAAACAAGCAGCCAGCCAAGTGAGGTGGCAGTGAAGGCCACACGGAAGCAGCACACCAGCCTGTGTGATCCAAGGAGTGTAAATAATGAAATCTGAGATGGGTGGGAACGGTATTAACGCTTAAATTCTGAGCACCCAGTCTATAGAAGGCAGTGGATGACAGCAAAGGCCTAAAGATTTTTTTTTAATGTTAAAAATCAGAGATACCACGTTCAAGAATGAGGTGCACCTAATACACGTCATCGTATTTCCAGTCTCCTCATATACATGTGAAAATCGACGATGGATATGGGAGATTGAGCAGAGAATCGATGTCTTAGAGTTATAGTGTTGGCAAGGAATATTAAATATACTGTGGGGTGCCAGAGTAAGTAACATCTTTCTTGGAAGAAGCACAACCAGAATGCCGTTTAGAAACAAGGATTGAGCAACAAAGCCCACATGGAAGAAGCACACTGGCCTGTGCGATCACGAGGTGTCGAAGGGATCAGGTATCAGGCATCATCAGAACAAAAAATCATATCATTGTGAATGAGGGGGGGAGTGCGGAGTGGAGACCCAAAGCCCATTTGTAGGCCACTGGACATCCCCTTACAGAAGGGTCTCTGGGAGGAGATGAGCCAGTCAGTGTGCAATGCAGCAACGATGAAACATACAACTTTCCTCTAGTTCCGATCCCAATTCTATCTTACAAATCTGGCTAGACCAGAGGATGTACACTGGTACAGATAGGAACTGGACAACGCAGGGAATCCAGGGTGGATGATCCCTTTAGGACCAGTGGTTCGAGTGATGATAACAGGAGGGTGGAAGGAGGGTGGGTTGGAAAGGGGGAACCGATTACAAGGATCTACATGTGACCTCCTCCCTGGGGAAGGACAACAGAAAAGTGGGTGAAAGGAGACGTCGGACAGGGCAAGATATGACAAAATAATAATTTACAAATTATCAAGGGTTTATGAGGGAGGGGAGAAAATGAGGAGCTGATGCCGGGGGCTTAAGTAGAGAGCAAATGTTTTGAGAATGA